CGGTATAGTAGAAAAAACAATAAATAAAATATGTATTACTTTCTCCTTAAAATATTCACAAAAATCGAACTTAGACCGATTACAGTATAATTATATACAGAGTGTTGACAAAAATATGGGATACTTTCACAGAGTGGACTCTCAATGCAAAAGTAAAACGAAAAACTAAACAGAATCTAAATCAAGAATGACGAAATTGCGATCTAAAACTAAATCAGTAATATCAAAATTGCGTTCTAAAACTAAATCAATAATAACGAAATCGCGTTCGAGGCTTCGTTTCCGAGATAATAACCGTTGAAAATACGAAAAAGGACCTGTTTCTACTACTTCAATATAACAAAAAACAGCACGACTGTGACTTACTATCATTCTCAACCCGCCATATAGTGGCGATACATTTTCCATTCACAATATGTTTAACTGAATCCGTTTAACCAAACCACAGAGAGCTGTCGAAGCAATTAACAAATACCCTTAAAATCGGATAAATATTTAAATTACATCAAAACGAATACAGAGTTCTACGAAAAAACGGTGGCTTATTAGCACCAAACAACAATATTCCCCTCCTTCATCTACACATTCAATCGGGTTACGAGCGAATGAACGTCCACGGTCTATTAACTATAGACGGGTCTCTATTTCCATACTCTGACACTCGACGATCAATAAAGATCGTCGAAATCGCGACGAGCCACCCTGATTCTCGGTGGCACGTGAAAATCCGTAGACTAATTTCCATTTGCGCGACAGTCGGGGGGGAGTTGGTGTAGTGTAAGGCGAGTGAGCGAACGACGACGAGGGTGGTGGATCGATAGACGTCTCTGCGAGGATCTCTCGCCGCGGCGAACAATACGTCCCCGTGTTCCGGAAGTCCGACGTCAGGGCCATAAGCGCGTCGTAGCACCGAGACAAATCGAATCAGGGGCATTCCCGTGTCTCTATCCGTTCCCCGTACCTATTCCCTCCGTTTCAGGTCTCGGTTCCGTGTCCGCGGCTGATGTTATCGGGGGTGGGTCTCGTCGCGCGTCCGCTGGAAATAAATCTTTTGTGGAAGCGACGCGAGAAGGATCGTCGGTTTTGCTGTCCTCGAGGAAAAGGAATACGGCGGAGAAGGAAATAGCGGATGGTACGCGTTCGCCCACGGAAAGTGGACCTCACCAGCGAACGTTCCATTGCGTGGGTCCATTTGTTTTTTTTTGTCTTTTGAAATACGTTTTCTTATTAGGGAATTGTTGGATCCGAATATTTCTTTAAATAAGGCTATTTGTTAGGGAATTGTTATATCTGAGTATTTCTTTAAATAAGGCTATTTGTTAGGGAATTGTTAGATCTGAATATTTCTTTAAATAAGGCTATTTGTTAGGGAATTGTTACAACCGAATACTTCTTTAAACAAGTCTTCTTACTAGGGAATTGTTAGATTTGAATATTTTTTTAAATAAGGCTTCTTATTAAGGAATTGTTAGATTTGGATATTTTTTTAAATAAGGCTTCTTATTAAGGAATTGTTAGATTTGAATATTTTTTTAAATAAGGCTTCTTATTAAGGAATTGTTAGATTTTAATATTTTTTTAAATAAGGCTTCTTATTAAGGAATTGTTAGATTTTTCTTCGTATACGGATTGCATATCATATACAGGGTGTTTCTACAATTGTGGTAAAATCATGGTTGCATGGTGATTGTATAAGAAAAAATAAGAATGATTTTTTTTCGTTCGAGGCTTCGTTTTTCTGAGAAAATTGTATTTGAAGATTAATCTGAAACGTCAGTATTCGTCGTGGTAGTAAGTAGAAACGGAATGCAAACAACAGACGCGTTAGCCAAGACCTATTCAATTTGCACGAGTGTTCAGTAGATATTCGAATTCGATTACCTCGAAAGCAATATTATTCTTTTTTTTAGACTTATTTTTTTATGTAGAATCATCGCCTGGCCGGTTGTACCATGATTTTGGGAACACCCTGCATACATATATGACACTAGATTTTCTCACGGGAGACAACGTATAATAATTATAGTCTGTATTAACGTTGGAACTATAAAATCAGTCAAAATGATGGATTTCGAGTAGTATTATTGCTTTAGAATTACAAGAAATCATAAAGATGATTTTGTCGGAACTACGATGACCCTTAATTTTATTCCAGATTGTATATTGCACTATATACTATTTCTGTATTATACAACAGAATTTAATATAGTATATAAATCTCTATTACTTCTCAAAAACTTGTTTGATTACTGTATCAAAGTGACGATTATTCCTACAAATATGCCCTTACGACAGAAAAAGAGTAAGGAGGGGCGGAAAACAGATCATTTTTACTGTTTCAAGGTGACATCTTTTACCGTACCAACGTGCCCTTACGACAGAAAAAAGGAAAAGTGAAGAACAGACCATTTCTACCGTTTCAAGGTGTCATTTATTTCTGTTAACGTGCCCTTAAGATCGAAGAAAGAAAAGGGGGAGGACAGACCATTTCTATCGTTTCAAGGTGTCGTTTTTTTTCTGTTAACGTGCCCTTAAGATTGAAGAAAGACAAGAGGAAATCGATCGACAGGAGAGATATATGGAGAGAAATCGAAGAAGTGTGGATGGAATGTGGGCGCAAGAGACCTCTCGCGGTCTGGTTTTCCAGACGGGGGCCGAGAGGAAAACATGTGGGCTAGATAGGCGCAGCTGCGCTACCATCCCGGCTGAGATTAGATATCAGCAGCATTTTTCCAGACAGCCTTCGACGTTCCACGAATCCGCGTAATAATCTCGTCCGAAGGTCGACGACGCCGCCCGCGACTACCTCCGTTCGAAATGGGAAATCGCGCTTCCGTCCCCCACTTATCTGACTGGCGCGCTCGTGTACCCAATGGGGATCCCAATAACTAGAAGAACGATCCCTGCCACGCTATCGGTGAATTAGGATTTTCGTCAGGTACATACACAGTGGGTGTAAAAAGATATTCGTACACCCTTTAAAACGGAACAACTCTTTTAAAATTGGTCCAAATGACTTGAGATTTTTTTTTGTGAAGTTAGAGACATTAATTTACTAAATGATGTGAAAAAAAAATTTGAAAAAGTTGCAATTGGTCCGAATCGCGAAGAAAATGTTAAAGGTCGTGTTTTACAACTTTTTAATCTGAGGTTATAAGGAAAATTTAATAAATACATATCGAAGATTTATGTTAGTTATATACATGTTGAAAATTTCATCAAAATCGGTTAACGTTGCTACGAGATACAAACGATTAAAAGTATTGAAAATCGCAGTTTTTCCCAACATTCGATCTACAACTGTAATAAATCTATCAATTCTCACATCTTTTTATGTCTGTCGCTCGTTTCTGTATTAACCGATTTCAATGAAAGTTTCAGTATGTACATAACTAACATAAATCTTCGATATATATTTATTAAATTTTCATTATAGATATTCAAACTCAGAACTAATACACGAAACTGAGTTATTTTAAAAACTAACAATATTACACTATTCTATACAATTCTATAACCGTGTTATTCAAGGGTTTGTCCAATTACGATCGTGTTAGAATGAAACCGTGTAACGGGAATTCCATGTTACACAAAACTCGGAACTAATAAAAAAAACGGGGTTATATTCCAGAATCTAGTAACTAGACTGCGGATTTTATGCATTTATAGCCCAAAGGGCTCTGTGAAATACAATAAAAGACAAAACTTTCATTGGATCCAATGATTTTTCTATTTTACTCTGAACTCAATAAAATCTTTAAGAGGAAAAATAAATTTCTATATTTGCTCCTGTCTTTACACATTACTTTAGACAATGTTATTTTGCATAAAAATCAGCAGTCTAATAACACTATAGTATACAGGTAACCCCCGTATAACACGGTTTGGAATTCGTGTCACAGGAAATTCAGAACAAATCCAAAAAACAGGGTAATATTCGAAAAACTAATAACTAGACTGCGGATTTTATGCATTTATAGCCCAAAGGGCTCTGTGAAATACAATAAAAGACAAAACTTTCATTGGATCCAATGATTTTTCTATTTTACTCTGAACTCAATAAAATATTAAAAGAAGAAAAATAAATTTCTATATTTGCTCCTGTCTTTACACATTACTTTAGACAATGTTATTTTGCATAAAAATCCGCAGTTTAATAACACTATAGTATACAGGTAACCCCCGTATAACACGGTTTGGAATTCGTGTCACAGGAAATTCAGAACAAATCCAAAAAACAGGGTAATATTCGAAAAACTAATAACTAGACTGCGGATTTTATGCATTTATAGCCCAAAGGGCTCTGTGAAATACAATAAAAGACAAAACTTTCATTGGATCCAATGATTTTTCTATTTTACTCTGAACTCAATAAAATATTAAAAGAAGAAAAATAAATTTCTATATTTGCTCCTGTCTTTACACATTACTTTAGACAATGTTATTTTGCATAAAAATCCGCAGTTTAATAACACTATAGTATACAGGTAACCCCCGTATAACACGGTTTGGAATTCGTGTCACAGGAAATTCAGAACAAATCCAAAAAACAGGGTAATATTCGAAAAACTAACAACACTGCACTATTCTACACAATTCTTCCACCGTCCTATAAATTTCTCGAACCTTGTAGAACGAAACCGTGTCACGTCAATCCCGTATTACACAAGGGTTATCTTTATTTCCATTAACATGACCGATTCATATCTCAATATTGATATTCCCGAAAAGGTCGCGAACATTCCAGATGATTTCCTCTGTCTAAATTCCAACCCGTCGATCATCGATAACCCCCACAAGTAATCAACGTGTCGATCGATAAATTATTCCTCGTTGAAATTTCACAAATACTCGACGTAATACGACATAATGCTTCCAAGATCCTTTTTGTTGCTTTTGCAGAAAAAAAAAAAACAAATTTATGCCGAGCTAACCGCGATATGTATACCGTTGATAAATATGTCTGAACTTCTCGTTGAAAAGGAATTGAAAGGACTCACCGGTGTGCCAGGATGACGATGGTGATCCTGCAGCAGGAGACGTCGTTGGTGCGACGCCGGCAGTTCCTCGCTGTGATGATGATGATGATGATGATGATGACGATGACGATGATGGTGATGATGATGATCGTGACGATGGTGATGCAAGATCGAGGCGGAGGCCGGCTCGTGGAGCAGCAACCGGCGATGATGAAGATGATGGGACACGGTCGCCAGGACACCCACCAGTGCGCCGACTACCAGGACGAGCACCGCTGACACTATGTAGCTGCTCGCGCTCACTGTAAACAGAAAACAGACGGACGCACGTTCTTATGCCCGTTCGACAACCTTACCTACGAGACCGACTGTTATCGGTGATTCGGGGTATAAACAAAGAAACGATGTTACCTGTCCAAAACACATCCCCACCACTGGACATATGCAGACCTTGTATATAATATAGTAAAGGCAAAAAGTTTCAGTGACTCTTGGTAACGGTTTTATGTTATTATTTGGGGAACGGTTTTATATCGCCGCGAAAGGTATAGATTTCTATTCAATACCTGTTTCGGTCGTATGGCCGGTAAAGTTACCGTGAATATCTGCAGTCTAGTGGATATTTGAAATATTCAGAATTGAAGAAGTTACAATGCAGTGAGACATTTGTTGCAGTCATTCTCGGGCACTGTTCGGGGCAAATTGATCCGAAGCAAATGGTAATTGTTTTATTGCGGAAATTTGGTAATTATTTAATGAAAATCTAGTGATTATCAAGTAAGATTGTTAATTAATTTGATACCAATAGCTTGTGTATGTGATAGTCTAGCGGTAGGCAAATATATTTTTTATTTCGAATTTTATTCGGTGAATTTTCTTTATTTTAATTTTTTGATTCGTGGAATAGAAATGCAGTAGTTTATTAAACAGTGCTATAACATAGCTTGTGCATGTGATAGTCTAGCGGTAGGCAAATATATTTTTTATTTCGAATTTTATTCGATGAATTTTCTTTATTTCAATTTTTTAATTCGTGGAATTGAAATGCAGTAGTTTATTGAACAGTGTACAAAGATTAGCTTTGCTTCAATTTCAACCATTCCCTTATCTAACCCTCTAACGCCCAGACCTCTAAATCGTTTTTTAAAAATTGTGAGACTATACATATATATATACATATTACATCTTGTTATTTTGAATTCGAAAATGTCGATATTAAACCAAGCTATTTTTTACTTTCTTTAAATTTATTTAAAACCCTTATCACCCAAAGACCCCTTCCGGGAAAAAAATTATTTTCTTTTAACCCTTTATCGCCCAAACACTACTTCCGGGAAAGAAAATTATTTCTCGGGATTAGTTAACTCAAAAATGTACCCAATACGTGCATCCTATCTGTGTTTTCACGACGAATCCCTGGAAATATGATTTTCTAGATGTGACATAAACGTCACACTGAGTGTTAAAGGGACAAAAACAGTGTATTGACCAAGTAATTCGAAAGTTCTGTACAGCGTGGAAAAATGTAAGTTCTTTTTAAGAGGGCATTGAGAAAAAATGTTGATAATAGTACAGATAATTTTTACGAGAAGATCAAGTTGTATGGTTCCTTTTCCTATTGTGTTTTACCTTTATATTGAATATCGAGACACAATTTCTACCATGCACCAACGAAACAAGCATTAGAACGCATACTGTGTGTTGTAGTCGAGTGGGGAACACGTACGCCACGTTGTAATCAGTGTAGCGGTGATAAGTGATAGGCGCTCTTTTTTTTTTCTCGCGGCAACATTCCTCCCCGAACCATTTCCTGAGGGATCTAGACGCTCGGTGAAATATCGCGGTGAGATAACCGTGCCTCTAGGAAACTACACACCAGTACTGAAAGGCAACGGTTATTTCTACAAATAAACGTCGGAACGTTATCCATCTCAATAATTTATAGATAAATCAGTTCGTGGAAAGTATAATGGGGTATGGAAATAATTTCTTCGAAACACACCAATCATTTGCTTTATTAATAAACAATCGAAGAAAAAGAAGGGGGGGGGGAATCTATCATTTTAATTATGCTTATCAAATCATTTACTTTCTTAAAAACTGTTCAAGTGTGGACAACTTTCACCTTTTTTTCGGGGATATTGGTGTTATCTTTTGTTCTTCAAGCGAAACTACATCATTATTGAAATATTTTTTATCAGAACGATCCATGAGATTCAACAATTATGCATATATTACCAGAAAGACACAAATAATGTATAAAAAGTCAACTGAAGTTATGCAACGTCGTGGTACATTTGTACCTTTGAGCGGTTCGATTGTTTCCGAAGCGATCATTTTGATATATTACCACGACGTTGCATAACTCCTGTTGATTTTTTTAGACGTTACGTGTGTCTTTCTGGTAACATATTCATAGTCGTAGTTCTCATCATTCGTTCTAATAAAAAATATTTAAAAAGTGCTGCAATTTCATTTTAAAAACGTAAGGTAACAAAAATGCAGATAAAGAACTCTATTCCAGAGACCTCTTTTTTATGCGTCTAAAAATTATCGTATTTACTGACATCGTACTTACACACACACACAGAGTTTATCATAATTCTCGTTTCCTTACATACTGTACTACAAATATTTATACTTTTTATACGTAGAATGACACGAGGAATCAATTTTATATTACAGTATTACTTAGTGACGGTAAAAAATAGGAACTCCTAAACAGTGTTAGTGCTAAAAAAAGAATAAGTAAATATATTGTTACGTTTCTACTTAACTATGATTACTAAAGATTTATGCAAAAATTTTGTCAACACTTCAGTTCTTAAAACAGAACATTCCTCTTACAAAACCTAACCAGCACTTCAAGTTTCGAGAGTTTCGGATTCGAGTTTCGAGAGTTCAAAAATGAGGTTCCCATTCACCCCTAATTATAAGTCTTTCTTTCCCAAACTAATAATTCTGACTTAAACTCTTCTGCCCTTCCATCACACAATTTTTATACGTAGACTTTTCTTTTTTAAACATTTCTACAAGGACTCTTCATTTGTTTCTTTCGTTCCTGTTCTTTTCCACCTGTTCAATTTTCAATCATCGTAAAACGAGCCTCGTGAAGCAACTTCGCGAAGACGCGATTACCCGTCGAGTTTCGCGAGGAAAATTCTGACTGTAAACGGTGGTCCCGGCAGCTTTTCACCGCGTCGTTCGCGGCCGAGCGATGCACGGAAAGGAAAGTATCGACTAACTTCCCGCTTCCAGTCAATTTCGTACGTGATGCGTGAAAAAGACTCGGCGGCACGAAAGTTCCAGCACGAGTTTTCCCTTCCTCCCGGGAACTCTGAACCTCTCTCACCGCCTCCTTCTCATTCAGAAAGTGTACGAGACTGGAAAATTTCTTATAGTCACGCTCGGCGACGCTCGCCCGGAACGTACCGCCTTCGAAATTTTGCAAAATTGCGCGCCGCCACCAGGCCTCGCCTTCCGTGAAATCTCTCCCCCGCCGTTTGATTATCAAACGAAATATCACCTGACCCTATTTTTCGGATGAAAGGGAATCTCGAAAACGAGAGAGAGAGAGACGCCCTTTGAGGTGCGCCAGAAGACTGTTTCGAATTGTAAAACGAACTCTATGGATGATTACAAAATTATCAGATATTAACGTAAATAAACGCATTGAATCAGAGCCATTTTAATATAATTTAAATTTTTTCTTTCTTGTACAAAGTAACTAATATAGTTATCAAACTGATTTATTTTTATTTTTTAATGCCTCTTGGTTTAGGTACTTACATTTTAAAAAGAAATTTAGGGTCACTGCAAATCCCATGCGTCTACCTGTGATTTTAATTTAATTCTTATGGGTGAAAATACTATTTTACAATATGCGATTGAAAACGTTCAGGCACATAGATACAACAAATAACCAAATAGAATTGAGGCGAGGTGTAATAGTAATAAGAATAATAAATACATAGGTAAGTTATTTAGTAATAATAACCCCTGTTGCACCCTGTCACAGAAAACACTATGTAGTTCGTACCCAAAATTATTTATGTTGTTGCGAAAATATTGATCTTATCGTTCCAATTATTTAGAAACTTGATCAATAAACATGACAAACTTCTGAAAGTATTTAAATTTATAAATTAACTAATTTCTTCAGTTTTATATTGCAATGAAAGTTGCGAAAAATCTAAGAAAAGTGTTGTACAATTTTAATCGCCAATGTAAGAATTTACTAACCAGTCATTTTGATTGCTTTCGTAGTTCTAGTGTTAACACTAGGTTTACGGACATTTCTTATATACCTACCTCTACAGACACGCGTCAACGAACCGCACATTTTCGTTAAAAAAAAACTCATTTTATTTAATACTCAATTTACGAACGCGTCAAATTGTGTATCCGTAGAGATAGGTATACCACATAGAGAATTTCGATATTACAAGTCATTCAAAATGCGTCAAAATGACGCGTCTCGTAAACCCAGCGTTAACTCTTTAGGGTTAGGTGGTTTAAAAACTATCCCACCTTTTCCTTACCTTTTAATGCATGGTGGGATATATTTAAACCCACCTCGAAAAATTGAAGTTACTCATAGTCACACAGTTTAATATTTTACTTTCATATAATTTCTTTCATATTAAAAAAAATCCTGTGCAACAAGGGTTATTATTTCCTATAAAATCGTGTGCCTCAAAGAGTTAAGAAACAATCTATCGACTCGTATCAAAAATGAATCCTGCAGAAAGAGGACCGGATTCCTACCACGGACCCTTGTGTAAAAACGAAAGTCAAGAAATCGAGTGACTAAAGTTCCACTATATCGTCCCTTCTTCCCACTGTAATTACCGTCATTATACCCTTCTTTCCACAATACACCCAAGAGAGATGGAAGTAAACGGATCGAACCGAAAAGAAAAAAAAAAAAAGAATCTCCGAAATCCGGAGAAAGGAGAGAGGCAAGGTGCACCGTGAAAAATAAGATACGGCGAAAAGAGGCGTCGCTCGCTCGTAACTCGCCGGTGTGTACTCGAAGAGGTGAGCGAAAGAGTATCGTGTATGTGTGTGCACGAACGCGCTTGGGCACACGATTGGTGGGACAGGATGAGACACGACCATAAAACGTTATCAACGTTCATCATCGCCGGTTCAACGGTAAACAGCGACGCCGACGAAAAGAAAAAAAAAAGAGAGAGAGAAAGAAAGAAAGACAAAAAAAAACACACACACACACAGAGAGAGAGAGAGACAGGAAAGGGCGAAAAGAGGTCCCTGACCCGGCGCGGGCTGCAAACTTCTG